TTTTTTTTTTTTTTTTTTTTTTTTTTAGCCGAGGGTCTTTCGGAAATAGCCTCTCTATTCCTTCGGGGTAGGAGTAAGGTCTGCGTATACACTACCCTCCCCACACCCCATTAGTAGGATTTTACTGGGTTGTTGTTGTTGTTGTTGGTGGTGGTGGTGATTTGTTTTGTTTTTTCGTCCCTGATGTGAGCAAAATCAGGTTTATATGCTTTAGGTATCAAATTTGTGAAAACTGACGTATGATTTTATTTTCGATTTAGCATATCATTATGGATAACTGATTATAAGAATTAAGAGTTTACAGAATATAGAATTCTGCAGGAAAAAGGAGGAATAATTAGGTTGGGCATGATTTTGGTCGATAAGAAGAAGGAAACATAAGTATTTTTTATGTTTCTTCTTTCTTTATGTCTACAAATTTATAGAAGCATTTAACAAATTCACATTTTTTTTATAATAGTGCGAAGCGCAAACAAATTCATAATTTAAAATTAACAAGTGTCAAGCATCCATGTATATAATTGAGGAGATGGTGAGAAAGTGTAAGGAAGGGAAGTTGGGTGCCCTTCTCCTTTCCCTTCCTATTAGACTCGAATTTACTAGTAAATATAAATTAGACATTTTATATAACTATACACATATTTTACATGCACTATACATTTAGGTTAATTAGTATAAGCAGTTGGATAAACTGCTATTTAAGTTAACTCCTTGGGGAAGTGCACAAACACCCGATTTTGAGGCTGCTGTTTAAGCTATACTCGAAGTTGATTTTTTTTGTTTGTTTGTAAGTTTACTCACTTCGAAACACACTTCAGAATTGGCATGTGATTGCTTTAAAATTTGCATATGAAGTTATAAATTTGGAGTTCAGAATCAAATATGAAATTAATCGTTTCAAAGTGCAACTTCAGAATCGGATCTGAAGTTCTTATCATTTCAAAGTGCAACTTCAAAATTCGGGGATTTGAAGTTCTTATCACTTCAAAGTGCAACTTCAGAATTGAATATGAAGTTTAGCTCTTCTTCTCCGTCTCACGTTTTGCACTTTAAACTAGTCATAGATCTCCAGAAAACCACCAAAAACAGCCATTACGTTATTAATTCTTAAACCTCCAAAAGAGAAAGCTTTTCAAAAACTTGATCAAATCTTTATTAAGAAACTGATGAGATTTGCTTGAGATGATTCTTAGCGGGCGTTTAGACATAAGAATTGTAAAATTTCCCAAAAAAGTAAAATTTTTTAATGAAAATGGTATTTGAAAATTAGAATTGTGTTTGGACATGAATGTAATTTTGGGTTGTTTTTGAATTTTTGTGAGTGATCTATGTGAAAATTTTGAAAAACAGCTTTTTGAAGTGTTTCAAATTTTTGAAAAATTCTAAAATTTACCTTCAAGTGAAAATTAAAAATTTTATGCCAAACACTGATTTCGAAAAAAATGAATTTTTTTTCGAAAAAAAGTGAAAAAAATTCTTATGTCCAAAGGGCTCTTAATTTGATGAAACCATGTTGTTTCCTCAAGATTTAGCTCAATCGAAGCGCGAAAGAAGAAAGGGAAGAAATGACGTTTGATGAGGCTTGGGCAAAAGAATAAAGAGAGAGAATGCTGCAATCGATCTGCCTCAAAGGTTTTTTGAAATTCTGAAATTCTTTTAGAATTGAACACGAGTTAAAACTTTTAGCTAAAGTGGGCATAGATTAAATGTGAGTTGAGAGTAGCCTAATAGGTTGTTCCGTAAATGTTTTCCTATTACCATGGGCCTCATACCCAAACAGAAAAGATGTTCAGTAAACTGGGCTGTAATACATTTCCAGCCTCACTTAAATGGAGGCCCAACAAAAACATCTCCATGTCACATGCAAACACGTGTCCTCCTTTCTTCTTCTTTAAAAAAGCAAAAAGGGACTCTCTAGAAGTCTCTATTCAGCACCACTCTTTCCCTCCAACACGTGTCCTCCTTTCAAAAGCTCGTCGCCATTGATAGAGCTCACAAAAACGCTTGATAGTCTCCCGGTGAATTCCTTATTTCTCTTCTCCTTTTTTCACCCATCATTTCAGCATATTAAAACCCTAGGTTTTTTATCAACTAGTTTCTTTCAATTTTTTTCCTCTTCTTTCAAACGTGGTTTTATGCATTTTTTTTTTAAAATTCGAAAGATGTTATTTTGAACTGTTTTGTTTTTTGAATTTTCAGGATAGAGCAATGTCGAGGGTTTACGTTGGTAATTTGAATCCTCGGGTAACTGAGAGAGACCTTGAGGATGAGTTTCGTATCTACGGCGTTCTTCGAAGGTAAATTTTTCAATATATTTTTTAGATGGAATTAGGTTTTAAAGTTTCGCGTTCAATTTAGCAGTTCATCTTTCGTTGGATCGTCCAAGTGGTATTTTTTGGAAGAAAATGAAGGATCTTTTGGGGTAAATTATTTTTTGTAGTTATTATAAGCTCATGTTTTGTTGTTTTTCTTGTTTGTTTAAATAACGACGGTGCCTGGACGGGCCAACTTGCAAGCACCTCCACTATTTCATCAAAGTTTAACAGATGGGGAGAAATCACCTGACTTCTTTGCCTCTGTTGACAATCGAACTTTGGTCTCTCATGGTCTTCATATCAGCTTCATCGACCCCTAGGCCACATTCTTGGTATTGTTTTCTCGTGTTTCTCTTTTTTGGAGTTGGTTTTGAATTAGCTCAAAAAAGAAATTCAATTCAAGATATTCTCAACACAAAATAATAATAATAATAATAATAATAATAATAATAATAATAATAATAATAATAATAATAATAATAATATTATTATTATTATTATTATTATTATTATTATTATTATTATTATTATTATTATTATTATTATTATTTTGTGTTGAGAATATCTTGAATTGAATTTCTTTTTTGAGCTAATTCAAAACCAACTCCAAAAAAGAGAAACACGAGAAAACAATACCAAGAATGTGGCCTAGGGGTCGATGAAGCTGATATGANTACCTTCATGAAATTGAGACTGGGTTTAGAAATTGAAGTGGAACTTGAAATCTGAAGCATCGTGAGAGGATGAGGGAGGTTACTCTAGTAGTAGAGATTGAAATCTGAAGCATCGTATTTGTTACTCACTTTGTTCCATTTTATGTGGCAATATGATCATTTGGGGAGTCAAAGAGATTCTTCGTTGACCATCATTTTTCAAGTACTTTTTAAAAATGTTCTGAATTATTAACTATTGTGACTATAGTAATTTTTATGCAGTTTCCAAATATGTGAAGTTTATTTCAAACAACTTGAAGGATTTATGTCCGACTTCACACCGAAAATTAAGTACTTTGACCCTTGTGCCCTGGAGCCGCCACATAAAATGGAATGGAGGAAGTATGTTTTAGGTATATAAATCAGTCTTTGAGTGTTAAGTGGAGCACCTCAATTAGTTTCTATATTTGGGAAGCTTTATTTGGCGGGTGAATTTTGCCTCATACTACTTCGATTATGTTTTGTCACATGTCTCTTTTACTGCTTTAAATGTCCTATGTATGGATTACACATTGTGTGAAGATGTTGTCGGAACTCGCAGAAGTTAAACGACTTAAGATGTTGAGCTCCACCTCCCTGAAGGAACAAATCTCAAAACAGAAGCTAGTGGCTTCAGCAATCTGCATTAGTTCTTTGTTCTAGTCCATGAATGACTACTTGGACTAGGTGGTGGTTTAAAAGGTCTTTTACCCTAATGAACTTATCATAAAAAAAAAGAAGAAGAAGCTCTTTTCCCTAATGTGATGCATGTAGTTTTATACCTATCTGACTTTATGAAAATAGCTTATACTGTCTGATGCACAATCCTATGCCTATACCACCTAAATGTGTTGCAATAGCTACTGCATTTTCTATCATTGTTTTTACATCCCTTTTTTTGAGTTACTTCTTTTTGCCTAAAGTTTCATAGTATATCTTGTTTTCTTCTCATATTCCATAAGACCAATAACAAAGATTGCATTTTTGGGCCTCTCTGTTGTCTGTTTCGGCCCTCTTTATATGTCTGTCATTTTGGGTGTGATATTATTGTTTTGCACATAATTAAAGTGTTATTAATTTGTTGCAGTGTTTGGGTTGCAAGACGACCGCCAGGTTATGCATTCATTGAGTTCGACGATCGTAGGGATGCTCTAGATGCTATTCACGAGCTAGATGGTATGAACCGAGTGTAGTGCACCATACATCAATAGCTAGCTGAGTATGGTGATTGTAGTTGACCCTTTTTTAGTAATAATAACATGCAGGTTCAGGTTATCAGTATAACTTTCCCTTTTGGTTCTTATCTTTTCTATGAGAAGACTGTAGCATGCCCCTTTATGGTCCACAACTGATATCTTATGTTGAACTTCGTTTTACCAGGCTTTCCTTCAAGTAATGATATGGTTAGCGTAGTTTAAAAATGTAGATCTTGCTAATTATCACCAGTTTCATTCTGTCTAGTGCGTGTTTTCGTAGAACGATTCATTTTTGTTTTGGCGTACCTCGTACTTCTGGACTTTTCCTTTGTGATGTAATTCTTGCCTGCCTTCTAAGTTGTGTGTCTTCTCGTAATAATCTCTTAAGAAACGTCCAATGGAACAGATAGTGATCATACAATAACTACTGCTGAACATTCAGATGAAATATTACTTGAGTGTGTTGTAGCTTTGTTCACAATGTGTGTTACTAATCTGAAAAAGAAGTCCAGCGGAACAAAATCTGCTGACCTTTCAGTTTTAATAATAGATGAGTGCGATACAAGTTCATTCAGAAAACTTCTTGCCTGTAAGACTTTATTTTTATCTCTTCTTGGATAGTAACTGTGCTACATGCATCCCTGGCGAACCTTTGGGGAATTCTGTATAACAGGGAAAAATGGTTGGCGTGTGGAGCTCTCACACAATTCGAGCGGTCGTGGTGGAGGCCGTGGTGGTCGTGGAGGTGATGATACGAAATGTTATGAGTGTGGTGAGCCAGGTCATTTTGCTCGAGAGTGCCGCTTGCGCATTGGTTCACGAGGACTTGGAAGTGGGCGACGTCGAAGTCCTAGTCCTCGATATCGTAGAAGTCCCAGTTATGGGAGAAGGTCTCTCTCTCTCTTTCATTAATTTTAATCAAATGGGGCTTATCTCCTAGTTTATGTGCAATGTACTGATGCACCTTATTTAATGAACTCACGTTGCGAGCTTCTTGAACTCTAGTTTTATGCTACTTGACTGTGAAGAAGAAAATATTTCATTTGTCATAGAACCTTGTCAGAGCCATGCAAGTTAGGGTGATGTTACACTACAAAATAATGCCTACATAATCATCCTTCTGGTGGGTTTTTTTGTCTCGCTAGGAATATGATGACAGATATAATATCGCAGCTATGTCAGTGCTTTCACTTGGTATATGACATAAGAAATATATGTGAACACTTGGCTGTTTATAGCCTTCTTTTTCTTTTTCCTCTTTGCAAATTAGGCCACTCTTTAATTTACTTTTTGTACATTCTATTCATTACCTAAATGGTAACACATAGAGGTCCGAGGAGAGTGGATTTGTCTACTTCCTGGTCTCCAACTTAGCCAGTTGCATTATGAACTATATGCATGCATATATATCCTATATATCATGGTTCTCGATGGTCGTGTTGTTGCAGCTACAGAGATATTATTTGGATATATACAATTTTAGTTTTTCTCGAGGACTGATGTTGTCTTTTACTTTAGTTATCTTTACTATTTTTGTTGTCAATACTTTTCTTTTCTTCAGTATTTTCATCTTAGCTTTTTTACTCTTGTACTTAACAAACCTGTTTGGAAAACCCTTTTCTTGAGCCAAGGGTCTATTGGAAACCACCTCTCTGCCGCACACAAGTTAGGGGTAAGGTCTGCGTACATCCCACCCTCCCTGACCCCACTTGTGGGATCACACTGGGTATGTTGTGGTTTAGTTTTCTTGAGTACTTCTATCTGATGGGCTTCATAATATCAAAAGGTGGTGCTTCATCATCTTAGTTGATGGCCTATAACCTGGGTGGCATTGACAAGTTCTATTTTAGTATTGTTTTACTTCTGAATAAGTCACTTGGTTTTGAATTCAGAGTAGAGTTATTGTACTTGTCCATATACAATTTACTTCGAAATTTTGCATTTTGAGGAACATTGTGATGTGGCTTTGCAGGAGTTATAGCCCTCTTGGAAAATCTCCTCGAGGTCGCAGCCTATCTCCTCGTCGTGGACGCAGCTACAGCAGGTCACCCCCCAATCGCCGCGGCCGCTATGTGTCACCTTATGCCAATGGGTAACTAATTGATGAACATATTTATGGCATACGCATTTAGTGGGGCAATTCTTGAGTTTCTCCTTAAAACTGATAGCCTGTGTGGCCAAGCTGCAAAAATCAGCTTATTTTGAGAAGTGTTTTTTCTCAAAAGTGCTTTTTTTTTAAAAGTAGAAGCAGTTTGTGTTTGGCTAATTTTTTTGAAAAGCACTTCTGAACAACAAATTAGTGTTTGACTAAGTTTTTAAAAACTGCTTCTAAGTATATTTTTCTCAAAAGTGCTTTTCAAAAAAGTGCTTTTGGAGAGAATCTACTTTTTTCTGCTTCTCCAAAACTGCTTCTGCTTCTCCTCAAAAGTATTTTTTTCTCTTCTAAAAGCTTGGTTAAACACTTCAACTTTGGAAAAAAACACTTTTTTGAAAAAAAAGAAGTGCTTTTGGCTTGGAGAAGCTCGGCCAAACAGGCTATCAGTCTGAAACAATCTTTAGGTAGAAGTCTGAAACAATCTTTAGGTGGAAATTTTCTATAAAACTTTCCAAGGCCTCCATGTTAATTTTGTGGGTTTGGAATTGAATGAGAGCATTAGATCTGCTGCTTTTTTCTGGAAGCCCCTGCAGCAACAGACCCTTATTGACTATCTTTTGCTTGAACAGTTTATCACCTCGTCGTGGCCGTGGCAGCTATAGCAGATCCCCAGCATATCGCCGTCATCGTGATTCTCCTTATGCAAAAGGGTATGTTTGTTCTGCTGCCACCTAGTGGTTTCATCATGAAGCTAGCTTTTTCTTCCATTACTGCCTATCAAAGCAGAGTTGAGTATCTTATCACTTTTTGGGGGTTTGGGGGGTGGGNTTCTCAATTTCGCATGAGCAGTGCTTCCTTGTATTGTTAAAGTTATCACCTTTTATTTTGCAATTTCTTTGCACAATACTCATACGGGCACTTGGAATTGATGTTTCGTGCAGAGCTTGATGCTGGTCTGAGCAGGAAATACAACTGAGGCTCTTCGTTTGTAGTCTGATAGGCTTGTCAAAAGAGTAGCATTATGTAGTTTGTTTCTGTGATAAATGGTGTGTTCGAACTGGATTATGGGAGGCTTCTGCTCTCTATAGCCACCTCCAGACTTCATTCTTGTGACGGCTTCCTTAGTTCAGCAAACTTTGGAGGTCTCTTTTATTCTTCATTATTGTTTAATGTTTGCGCTTAATTGCTTTGACTACTTGCTTTGACTACTATCATAAAGTCACTTTTCGTAAAATATCTAGGTTTCCTTCTTTGAGGTATGATTTCCAGCTGAGACTGCATCATTTTGCCACATGCTTCTTTTGTTGACATTGTTTAGCACCAGTGCTTCTCTACATTAAATCATCATCTTCGAGTTTTTCCTACCGAAAACTGCAAAATGGCCAAGCGGCTCCTTCTGCAACAAAGCTTTTTTAGGTAGGTAAAGTTTTTTGCTTTTCTGTGCGCCGGGGGACAATGATAGCTGTCTGCTGCCTTCAATCTTCATTTGCCAGCTCAAACTGCTCCAAAGTCAACAAAGTTTCTCTCTCTCATCTGCTTCTCTTCCCACTGGTAGACTACAAAAGGTTGCTGCACTTCAATTTTCGTTTTCCAGCTTGGACCGTATTCTTCTTCGTTAATCAGATAGTGTGGCAGCACATTTCTTCTGGAGGAAATTTGTTACCTTCATTAATGGGACTTCCATGTGGTGGCTCGGAGAAGGAAAGTTACCTTTGTTTCCATGTTCTGCATTTTATGCCTCCTGACTTTGTAGTCGAGAAATGTAGTCGCAGGGCATGTACATACCTCTTTGATATGTCATGTTATTAACTTGGCCTTGATATGTAGTTGGACCTTTAATACCGCGTTATAAATTCAATGTTGCATGTGCAAATGTCAAGGTTGTAACAGTTGCCACTTGTAACGACCCGGCCGGTCGTTTTGAGTATTATAATCTCGTTGTCCATTTATTGCTCAAATTGTTAATTATAGTGGCTTGCCGGGGTAATTGGTTTGGGTCCGGTGAGGTTTGGAAATGATTTGGAACGCTTAGTTCCAAGGTTTAGAATTTAAATTGAAAAGGTTGATCGGATATTGACTTAGGTGTAACGATCCCAGAGAAATATTTGCTAAGGAAATTAAGGTTTGATGGTGCCGAGGTAGATCAATTAGTACTAATATTATTGAATGTTCTCGCGGCGAGCAAGCTCGCTGCGTATGCACCGATGTGTAAAGAAAAATTTTGCTGGAAATAGGTCATTTCTGTGACCACTATGCGGTCGCAGAATCATTCTGCGGACCGCATAATGGTAGATTGGAGGAATATCTGCGGTGCACTATGTGACCGCAGACCTGTTTTGCGGTGCATTATGCGACCGCAGAAGAAGTATGCAGACCGCATAATGACCGCAGAACAGGTCAGTGACGCCCAGCTTTGGAGGCCAAATTATGCGGCCGGTATGCGGACCGCATACCTGTTATGCGATCGCATATGAGATCACATAACTGCGTCTGAGCTTCTATTCTTTCTAATTTTTGACCCGACCCAACTTCGATTTATAGCTCTTGAAGCTCATTTTTGAGCCAAAATTTGATATTTTAGAGAGGTGAGAGCATTTTAGAGAGATAAAGTGAAGACTTAGTGATTTATCCATCAATATTTGTTCAAGGTTTGAAGATTTCACAAGGATCTTGCTAGGGCTTCAAAGAGGTAAGAATTTCTTTCTCTAATTCTTCAATTTCGGGTTTGGAGTAAAGATGAGTGATTAATAGTATGATTCTTGGGTGTAGAGTATCATATAAACATACTAATAAGGTTGTGGAAAGATTGTTAAGTTCCAATAGGTAAGGATTGGGTTGAAAATGGTAGAAATCTTCAAACTTTAATTGACGATTTGAGGGTCGAGTTGGTGTCGGATTTTGGTAAAATTTATATGGTTGGACTCGTGGTTGGATGGGCGTTCATATTTTGTAACTTTTGTCGGATTCCGAGACGTGGGCCCTACGGGCGATTTTTGAGTTAATTTCAGATTTTATTGGAAAAATTAGTATTTTCTTATGGAATTAATTACAATAATTTGTATTGACTGATTCGAATTAATTGTGGCTAGATACGAGGCTTTCGGAGATCAATTCTCGTGGCAAGGGCATAGCGGAATAAATAATTATACGGGTTGAGGTAAGTAACAATTATAAATCTGGTCCTGAGGGTATGAAACTCCGAATTTTATGTCATATATTTATTTTAGAGGTGACGCACATGTTAGGTGACGGGCGTGTGGGTGTGCACCGAAGGGATTGTGACTTGGTCCGTCCCGTGAAACTGTAAAGTTAAATAACCTGTTGTTAGCTATAAGCTCTCTTTGTGTTGAAGAAATTTGACTGTAAATCATGTTAAAAATCATGCTTAGGCTATGTGGTAGTACTGTTGGGACCCACAGAGGTCACAAACTTGTTGAATTATTTGCTAGTTGCTATCTTGTGCTCAGTCTTGATTTTACTAGCGAATCATACCTCAGTCTTTCTTGATATTTGTTGATGCACTATGTTATCTTTGTTTGGGCTGATCTGTGTGGTTTCTGAGAGTTCGAGAGACTAGAGAGGTGAAAGACTGAGTAAGTCCGAGGGCTTGTTAGTGAGGTAAGGATATTATGGCACGTGAGTTGTCCGTGCAGGATATTATAGCATGTGAGTTGTCCGTGCAACACATGAGTTGTTCGTGCAGATTATAGCACTTGGGTTGTAGGAGCCCCTTCGGAGTCTGTACACACCCCTAGTGAGTGCGGGTACCCATTGAGTGTGAGTGCTGAGGGCTGAGAGCCGAGTGGTTGAGCTGTTGTGATGAGCTGAGTGACTGTTGCTTGAGAGACTGTACTTGCTTTGCATTTGTTGTTGCACTTGGTTGCTATCTGTCATTGTTGTGAAATATCTGAAAGAATTTATATCCGGATTACTTGAAATTGAACTGTATAAAATTGATTTAACTTAAACTGCCGGGTTTGAAAGCATGCCTATTCTTTGCTGGAACTACTGAAAGTGAACTATGACTGTGTAGCTCGTCATTATCTTCAGTTCCTTAGTTATTATTGTTACTTGCTGAGTTGGTTGTACTCATACTACACCCTGCACTTCGTGTGCAGATCCAGGTGTTCCTGAACATAGCGGGTGTTGATCATTTCGCGCAGTTGATTCTCAGGAGATTTTGAGGTAGCTGCCGTATTCCGCAGACCTTGTCTCTCCTTCTCTATCTCCTTGTTACTGTATTTGGTCTCAGACTATTATATACCGTATTTTTCAGACTTGTACTCATATTAGATGCTCATATACTCAGTGACACCAGATTTTGGGAGTGTTGTATCGGATTTTTCTAGATTTTGGTATTGTATTAACAGTTACGTTTTTAAATTGAAACGAAATCTTGGGTTATTGATGTTGTCGGCTTGCCTAGTACTGAGATATGCGCCATCACGACAGGTTAGGATTTTGGGTCGTGACAGAACTCCTTGCATTTGGCTAGTCACTTGGGGATAGAATTCCTTAACAAGGCTGGTGGCATGAATTCCACGTTATACTTGAAGATTTCTGAAAGAGCTGTTGAGATGGTTCTTGTACATAAGAAAAAGTTGATCAGAGAGCACCCACTTAAAATGTAGGGGAAACAACCCCTTTGGTATTTGTATTATTGCTTTATTCCAATTGAAGGTCAACCATGCGGGCCCATATGTCATAGTACGGCCACTCAATGTCTGGTAAGGCATGATTCATTTAATTTTACTGCAAGTGGTTGAAGAGCTGTTTGAGCATGATTTCAGCGAAGTGTTCAAATCAAGGACCTTAGTTAACTAGAATAAAGTAATAACACTGAGGACAAAAGATGCTACTCTGAAATTCCACCATCTTGCTAGAAGCTGAAACCAGAACCCGATGTCACAATCTGCAGATTTCAAGTCACAACTCTATGATCATGAGGCCTTTTCGCGAATTAATCTTGATTATCTTGATGAGTGTAATGTATCTTAATATCAGATCCCATGCATTATACATTGTTATCAGAACTATAGCATACCTGAAATAAAATATTTAATTATTTATTTATTTATTTTTGGTTTGAGTAACATATACCAGTAATTCATAGGAAGAACTTCTTTTTTTTTTTCCTCATTAAAGTATACTATAGTTTTAAAAACTTAGTTTTGTACCATCAAGGTAGGAAAAATATATTATCTACTTAGGGTGAGATGCACAATTATGTTAAATGGTATGCCACGTATAATTTCAAATTGATAGGATGATGATCACATGGAGTAGCACTAGATTACCACTCCAGATTCAAAAGTCATGTTCTCTTTCTTCTCCACTATTTCTTTCCGTTTTCTTAATTATAATAAATTAAGAAGCATATGGATGATATAGATCATTCAATGGGATATTACGAATAGAGTATAGGAAGGATTTCATGCATGGCATAATATACTATACGGAGAAAAAGGTAAGCATACTTAGCATGAGCCTAATTTGTGGTTACCGGTAGTTTCATACAAGATACCAGGGAAGATTGATAAAGTGAAGGTATAAATCAAGAACAAGACCAATGCATAATCAATGTTCTGAAAAAGCAATTGTTTCTGGCTCACACATTCCAATTGATAAAGTGAGGGCATAAATCAAGAACAAGACCAATGCATAATCAATGTTCTAGAAAAGCAATTGTTTCTGGCTCAGACATTCCAATTGATTAAGTGAGGGCATAAATCAAGAACAAGACCAATGCATAATCAATATTCTGGAAAAGCAATTGTTTCTGGCTCAGATATTCCAATTGATAAAGTGAGGGCATAAATCAAGAACAAGACCAATGCATAATCAATGTTCTGGAAAAGCAATTATTTCTGGCTCAGACATTCTAATTCGTTAGCGTCATCATCAGTCTGTCCAGTTGATTGAACCATATTGATGCGAGGCTTATGTACACTTTATATCGTCATTTGCGATATGCTTTACTCATAAATATTAACGATTCGTGCTATATTTGTGCTTATTTTAGTTATTTTTGTGTGTAGGATCATTTGGGATTGAATTGAAAAGAAAATTGGACAGAGAGGCATCAAAGACAACAAAATAGAGCACGAAAGGAACCATGACGCGAGTCCGTGATTGGACCACGCCCTAGAGGGCGCTAGGCGAGGCCAGAGGCGCCAAAGAGCTCGCGCCAGAGGCCGCCTCGCGAGGTCCAGGACGAGGTTGCAAGCTAAGAGTGCGACGCGCCAAGCTCTGTTCCGAGGCGTTTTGACTCCTAGTCAGCTTAGGACTTAGTTATTTCGGCCTTAATTGTACCCTAACATATAATTACCTCTTTAACTTAGATTTTGAAGGGTTAGACAAGTTTTGTAGGCGAAAACACAGTTGGAACAATCGCAAGCAACAAATTTACACATATTCTTCTTCCAATTCTTCTTAGTTTGTAGTTTAATTCTCTCATTATGCATATGATTATTAGCATGACTATGAGGAGCTAAACTTTTATCTAGAGTTTGATTGAATCTTCTGGAGGATGAAATTCCGTTATATTTCAATATAATTTTGCCTTTGAATTTCTCTATGTGTTTAACTACGTGCTTAATTTAGCTAATTGAATGACCATCAATTAGTGGTTCCTATCTAGTATATATTACTTGAGAAAGAGTGCATATTTAGGTAGTTGCTGAACAACATACTCCTGAAATATATGAGAGATTAATACAGAGGGTTTAAAGGTAGATTTAGAGATAATAAAACCTTGACATGATCATAGTAAGCGGTAAAAAAGGGCAACTTGTGTAATTCGAGAGAGTACGGCTAGTAAACTGCTATAGTTACTCGCGAGAGAATTACGATAACCGGAGTGCTCACAATCCATAGAGAATAATTGGGC